ACATACATACATACATATCTACATGTGTGTATATACAAATATAGATAGATATGGTTGCGCCTGGGCCGCACCTCCCCCGCATGCCCTGTGGTTCGAACAACCCCCTGTGGAACAGATTCTGAGCTTGCTCCTGTGCTGTGCGGTACTGTAGATAGTAGGAGACTGGTCCATGTGCTATCACATATGGTATGTGGCATATTGGGCATATGTGGTTTCCTATATACTGCTGCCCTTTACCTTCCTATTCCCCTCCCGCATTGTGGTTCGGGTTGGTTGCCCCCTACTCGATGATTCTCGCTCCGTACGTGCTGTCCTGCTAGGATGTGGTATGTGTGCTCTTCCTCATGCCAGCACTCTGGCGCCCGGTAGTTCCGTCTCCGAACTTCGTCTCTGTTCGAGAGCCTTTGGGTAACTATCCAGAACATGAGGGTTCTCCCTTCGTGCCCCCTTGCCCTTGCAAAGACGTCCAGGCGCTTTTCTTTGGGGGGGGGATACCATTGGAGTGGGGGGGGGGGGGGGNNACGCGCAAAGCTCACAACCATACACATGTTTGTTTGCCGCTTTCTCTTCTCCTTGCCCCTCCATGAGGGGGAGGGACACACCTTGGTGTTATGGGAGCTTGTTCAGCTAAGCGGCTGGCACAATTGAGGCGACCTTGGTGAGGTTGTCCGCTTCAACGAGATCAAGCGAGTGCTCGGTGACATTTTCTTGTTCAAAAATCTGCAGAATGATCAGATGGACCTTTGGTCAGCACAGCGTGCGCAATAAGTCCGTCGTGTGTAAGTTGCAGATGCAGAGAGCGCGCGTCCCTGTCTAATCCCCGCCTTTGCACCTCCCTCCCGCATGCAGTAAAGAAGTTAAGCTCCAAGGAGCGCGTGGTCCGCAGTTTGGAGAAGTGCGAGTTTGCGAGTGGCCAAGTCGTGGTCGAGCAGGGAGAAGAGGCCCTCTTGGCATCTGCTTTTCATTAGCTATAAACAGTTGAGCGGGCAACTTTACAGGCGATCCGGAGTACCGTAAAAGAACGTTTCCGGATCTGCCATCACATCCTGCCATACCTGCCATCTACGCTGGCCATGGGGGACCTAGGAGTTCCATGGAGCTTGGAGTAGCAATTTACTTGAGGCAAGTTTGAATTCCTGGGTCGCTTCAATAGCTAGCCAGAGCATCTAGGTACACAAGATGTAGTCTAGTCCAATTTTCGCGTATTCAGAACAGGTAGCTTGGTCGCACTGTTATTCCGCTGGGAGCAGCTACTGCCTTTGGCGCAGGCAAATCATTTCTACCTCATCAGAAGCGGGACCATCGCCGTCTTTCGGAACCTCTGCTGGCCATCTACATGATTGCACACAGGTACATCTGGATGATCAGTTTGCTATGCGAAGTTGCAGGGCGTCCTGTCAGCCGCCCTGTATAAAAGATGGCATCTGTCTTTCGGCTCAGATGCGCCGCACATGAAGCGTACCACGCCGGAAAGAGAAATTCTAACTACAGTGTATGCTACTCAATTCGGGCATTTCATTTGTCTGACCGTAGCAGAATCTGATGTTCTGCGTCCCGGGCAGCAGCACCATCGCATTCTGGACTCGTTGCAGAGGCTCTGAATCTCGTAGACTGCATCCCCGAACGTGGGACGTTGAACATTTCTTGTCGTCCAAGTCTTGGAGGCTAAACTGCCAAACGAAAGCATACGAAAGGAGGCTCCAGACTGTTGAGCTTCTTTCATTGCTGGTTAGGCATGTTGGAGCTCCTATCTATCCCTGTTTGTCCCTGCTGGTACATTGCTCAACCGTGCTTCCTCGATCAGTAGGTGACCGATGACAAGAGCCTGCATTGACTTCGAGCTCAAATTCCTGCTAGTCGTCACGCACAAGCCCATATAGGGTGCATGTCCTCTCAGCAGAAGAGTCGAAAGCACCCAGGAATGGAGAGCGTCTCCGAAGTCTGCTCAAATGGGACTACTTCGGAGAGCGAGGCCCACATCAGACCGACTCGACATGCGATTGACAATTTCAACGTATGTTTCAGTGATTGAAGCGCATAGTTGGCCTCATGGGTCCCTTCCACCGTCCGCACACATGTTCAGGTTTGGATTTAGGGGCAATGATGCGGTTAGATTTCGGCTTTCTGTTTTCGGAATTTCGCGGTTCAGAGGTATGTGGGATCAGCCGGATCCTAGGATTGAAGGCGACATGCCAAGAATGGAGCCGACACAACTCAATGGGACCCTTGGGCCACTCCTTTCAGGTCTCCTTCTCCAGGAGAATCGTTCGGCAACGTGCCAGGCGCGGAGCCGGACTCCTGGTATAGTTGCCCTCCGCCCCCCTCCCCCCAAAGGTTGGCAGTTTAATCAATCTGTACTCCCTCGACCTTGGTTTGGTAGCCTGGGGGCTTGGGTTGGCTTGGGGTCTGGCTGGCTGTGACTACTTTAGAAGGGAATAGAGGGTCTGAGAGAGTTGGGGGCTGGCTTGGGGTCCGAGTGGTGTTGACTGATTCAGAAGGGAGTAGGCAAAAGGGGGTTGCGGGGGTAGCAGAAAGGAAGCAACCCAGCCAAAACTCCGCCGGCACAAAAAACACATCATTGCGACCGCCCAACTTTTTGGTGGTGGTCGGAATAAGCCCGGCAAAAAAAGCATTATAGAACCCTACCGGTCTGAACCGACTGCCACATTGCTAGTGCCATGCAGGGGCAGACGAGACCTTCTGACACCCACCATCACCAAACCTTGAAATCACTGCTGCCGATTGAACCCTGCGTTGTCGTTACTGCGATGGTGTTGCTTGTTTGAGATTGCCGGATGTACCGGTGGGAAGGCCTCTCACAGGCGCCAGCTGTGGCTGGGGGGGGCGATTGAATCAGCCGCTTGTCCCCGTTCCACAAGTACTTTCTCCCCTGCCCTGTAGTAGTATCTAGGCTCAATGCTTACTGCCTGTGACGAACTATGTCCGCTGGTCACTAGTCCTGCTTGCCATTACCACGAGGACCAGTCGTAGCAAGTTAGATCGCGTTTCGTTTGCTATGGGGTTGTAACCATTGTCCATAGCGTGAGTCGGTTAGCCAGTCAATGCGGTGGTTACATAGTCAGTCAGGCCGTTGCTGACCAGGCTGTTGTATTTGGTTATTCTTAGAGTTGTGAGTTCATGAGTCATAGGCAGCATTTCTTGACACTTGCCATTATGCTGATCAGGATTTGTCCTAGGAAGCAATTGTTGTTGGGTCTTGGGGTTTGATAGTGCTATGATGACTGCTGTGAGTGTGGTGGACTTCTATGGTACACGACATACTTGGAGAGCCAGCAGCTAGAGGCAGCTAGAGCGCGTCCTTAGCTCTACCGGAAGGCTAGGGACATCGATCCTTGTCCAGAAGCGGAGCCTCTCACGGGCACAGAACGAGCGAGGAAACCGAAAGGAAGTCAGGACAGTCAAACAGTGGACTCGTTTCTCGCAGATTGGGGCTTCCCCACCACTGACCTGATTAGCAAGTTTCTCATGACTTCTCGAGAGTTTATGAAATCTACATGATTTGTCCAGGCAGAAGAGCCGTCGGTCCTTCTCCGGCTGGAGAAGGCTGTTTTCGCTGCCACTCGGAGCTGAATTCAGAGGGAGAGAGGGGGCAAGAATCGACACCTTGCTCGATTCCCCTGTCTAGTGCACCAGAAAATGGAAAACCTTATTGTTCAAGTATTCCCCAAAATCGAGAGGCTGACTGCGAGCCCAGCATTCTGCATGTGGCCCTTCGAAAAAAGACTGTAATCCTGCATAAAGATGTTAGCGTAAAGACCTCGCAGCCTGAATGCAGTCCTACACATCCCAGCCCTTGTCTTGCTTGCAGCATAGAAGGACATCGTGGGCATCTTCCGGAAGGAGCTGGAGCATCGAATGATGCTGCAAGACCTCAAGATCGTTCCTGGGAGGCATTCTTTCTAGTTGCTTTCATTGTATGATATTATGGTATGATACCTCTTTCTCGCTACACTTTGTTTGTACGCACACACGCACATACAATTATTGCTGCTAGTGTTATCAGTATTTGTCATCATTATTATCATTCTGATTCTTGTTGCCCTGTTGTTGCCATTATGATTATCACTGTTATGAATGAACTTTATGCCTGGCCTGAATGCACTGAAGCTGGTAAGGAGATGTCCGATCTCTATGTCAAGGCAGTGGTTGGCAGAGGCTCATTTGGCCTTGTCAAGCTGGTATATCACAAGCGAGACAGGCAACCTGGCCAAAGAAAACCAGTCATGCGATCGCAGTACCGGGAAGAGCGTGTGCCGACATGCTTTGGTATCCAAGGCAGAAGTACTACGCCCTGAAGTGCATTGGCAAGAAGCAGGTGGTACAGCAAAAGCAAGAAAAGTCAATGATTCTTGAGCGCGAGATCAACTCGCAGTGTTATCATCCGTGTATTATGCATTTCATCACCACTTTCCAGGACCGTGCCTCGGTTCACTTGTGATGCACACTCGCACAGCCTGAAAGCAAGCTGTGCCTTTGGCGTGAGGACGCCAAGAATGTGTACTTCCTCACAGAGTTCCTGGGAGGGGGTGACCTTTTCACTGCAATTCGCGAGATCGGCAACCTCAGCAAACGGCAATCTCAGCGCCCCAGCTGGAGTTGATAATCAACGAAGTGCTTTCGGGGGTGCATGATGTGTGTTTCCAATATGGGCTAAGACAACTGTAAGATAATCAAGCCGGGTTTGCTGAAAACACAGAACCCGCAAAGTGGACTCTATGCCTCGCATGGAGTGTCCAACTGCGAGCGCCGAAACTGGACCCTAAATAGGTGTCTATTACCTTCAGATATCACTATACCACTAGATTGGCCTATATGCTTGAACATCGATTGAGGTTTTTTGGGGGCTGCATCACGCTTGCCTTGGAGTATCTTCACGGCCGCTCCATCATGTACCGCGACCTCAAACCAGAGAATGTCGTCCTGGATTTCAGAGGAAATGCCAAGCTGGTGGATTTCGGATGCTGCAAGAAGTGCCTCCAATCCAACACCCTTGTTGGCACTCCGGAGTACTTCGCGCCGGAAAGCATCATCGGGAAAGGCCAGCTGTGATTGGGGATGCGCAAGCATGTGACACTGCATTGGTTGTATGTGCCGAGTTCGCAGCAAGCCAGAGCCTCCCCACGGTTTCCCCACCCAGAATAGGTTGCGGTCAATCCTGCTGCATGGGGCCACACCGGAGGCTATACCTGTGCTGTAGACTGGTGGGCGTTAGGGGCAGCCGCCTCAGGCCACAATGTCCTTGTCTTGTAAACGCTGACAGCTGGTCTTCTGCAAAGCCAATTCTTAGGTCATGATGCACGAGTTCATTGTGGGCCCGCTGCCTTTTGGTCCACTGCTTGGCATCAGCACTCACGTCTCACTGAGACGCTCCGCGGGTCCATTCCATGCCCGAAGCTCCCAGGTCGAGACACAGACGACCAGCTCCAGCTTTTAAAGGAGATCATGGAGGCAGCTCCGAAAGCGGCCTTGTGCTCAGTGGTCCCAAAAGCCGAGCTTCCAGGCGCCCTTAGCCTTTCCCAGCTACATCAGCGACAAGACGGCTATCAGCTCCCTGGCCTCTCAGCGCTGTCACTGACGAAGTCCAAGAGCGGAATTCCTTGAGGCTTGATCTCCCAACTCTTGGAGAGAACCCCGGAGCTTCGGCTGGGGGCAGGCTCCCGTGGAGCAAAGGAGCGTGCAGTGGCGAAATTTCCTGATGTTGTATGTTCAGACTTTCGGCACGGCCGGCAAGCTATTGATGGAGGTGGCAGAACTGAATGCCTGAATGTCAGGACCTCCAAGATCATCCGTATTTTTCAGGTCCGGGGCCCCAGACTCTGCCCGAGGTCAGAACTTTCGATGTTCGATCCATGTTGCCAGTGACCTGAACCGTAACTAGGCTTCGATTTTACGACAAAAAACTGCTTTCCATTTCAAAATGGGCCCTCATAGCCAGGTGTGCTCGCAGCTCTCTTTCCACCCCCTCCCACCCAGGTGAACTGCCCACTGTTATCGATCGACCGATCTATCCATCTATCTGTCTATCTATCTATCTATCTATCTAGCTATCTATATCTATCTATCTATCTCCAAGGTTCTTTGTCTGCTGGTTTATATCCGGCCATAAAGATGCAAAGCAATGTGTCCGCGAAAGATTCGCGATGGATCTGCGAAAGGAAAGCAACAATCCGCGTAGTAGACTTTGTGCGTGTAAGACGCAGTAGCAACATCCTACCGTTCTGCAGGCGTACAGACAAGGCCTTTCATCGCACCATGCCTCAGCACAGCCCACAATTTCAACAGCCAACGTTCCAGATTTTGAGTTTAATGTGGCTGCAAGAAGACGAAGGCAACTCTACGGCCCCGGCAAGGTAGGAGCATTTATTCTAAGCCAAACTTGTAATCACGTGTTGCCTAGGGCCCGTACCGTTTCGTTCCCGGCATGATGCAGCTTGTCAATTCTGGGGAAATCGTGGTAGGGTTTCCGCAGAAGATCCGCGAATGCCGCGAAAGACAGGCCATGACCCACAACAGCCATTATTATTATTACTACTACTACTACTACTGCTGCTACTACTACTGCTACTACTACTACTACTACTACTACTGTACTAGTACTACTACTACTACTACTACTACTGCTACTGCTACTGCTACTGCTACTGCTACTGCTACTGCTACTGCTACTGCTACTGCTACTGCTACTGCTACTAGTGCTGCGACTACAAACATGTCACACGAAAGTGAGCGAAGAAGTCAATATTGATCAACGTTCATATAAGAGCACACATCCACCCGTCCATTCATCGGCCCTGCCATCCATACATACCTACATACCTGCATACCTAAGAACATTTCTCAGACGACATACGTACAATTGCACATAGACGTGTACTTATACTAATATACATCTACATAAACATGCATGTGCACATGCACATTGACCGCATTCATGTACATACCTACATCCGTACATTCGTACCTGCATACATAGACATACATAGGCAAATGTCTGCACATACACACACACACACACCCACACACACACACACACACACACCCACCCGCGCGCGCGCGCGCCGCGCGCGCGCATGCACGCACGCGCACGCATGCACGCGCACACATGCACGCACACACGTGCACGCACACACGCACGCACGCGCGCACGCACTGACGCACGCACGCACACACACACAGACACACACACACACACACTCTCTCTCTCTCTCTCTCTCTCTCTCTGCTTACCCGTTGTATAAATGCATATGTATTAACATGTTTCTGTATACGTATATGTATATGCAACTATATGTACATACATTCATACGTTCTACATGCATACATACAACCACACATTTACTCATACATGCGTGCTATCCGCAAAGCAGGGTCAAAGACGCCAAGGATTTAGCTGGAATGCGCTGGCGGGCCAGTCAATGCAAGCGCCATGGCTGCCGGACAGGCGGAAAATCCAGGCGGGACTGGGCGCACTTTTTTCCTCTGCCATGTCCTTGCTGCCAAGGGCAGCCGTTGCGAACTGCAGATACTACGACTGTTTAAGGTCTGAGCGACCGAGTAGAGCGATAAATCTTGCCCATCAGCTAGGTGAGACAGAACCGAAAATGCATGGGAAAGCGATACCTACTCCCAAAAGCAATTCGTCGTGACAAAGAGGGCTTGGCATCAGTCGAGGCGTTTCGGTGTGCTGTGTTTCCAGATGCGCGGGGGTCGCGAACGATGAAAGCCTAAGCAGCCCCTGCATTGTCCGAGTCGCGAGAGTCCAAACAGCCCTGCCTGTGCTCCTGTATAGAGTCGCAGCCAACGACTTTGCAGAATCAGTGATACCATCCTGGAGGCCTAGGTCCAGATGTGCCATGAGAGGCAGCGCCCCATACAACTACGTTCCAATACTCCGAGCGGCAGCAGCAGTAGCGGCAGCAGCAGAAGTAGCAGTGGAATTCGAAGTGGTGGAAGTAGTAGTCGTAGCGGTAGTGGTGGTGGTGGTGGTGGTGGTGGTGGTGGTTGTGGTGGTGGTGGCGGTGGTGGTGGTGGTAGCAGCAGTAGTGGTTGTAGTAGTAGTAGTAGTAGTAGTAGTAGTAGTAGTGGTAGTGGTAGTGGTAGTGGTAGTGGTAGTAGTAGCAGTAGCAGTAGTAGCACTACTAGAAGTATAGTCGTGGTTGTCGAATCTTTGCACTAGCAGCACGAAGACGCAGTCTGCGATCACAGTCGCGAAAGTCAATCAAGACACTGTGATGCGTCAGGAGTCTTGGGAGATTCCTTCTGATGCTGGGCAGCCTGTGTGTCCCGAGGTGGCTTTGTAGCCCTGGCAATCCGTCTCGTTCCAACACACACTGCCCTGAGCCTGTACATGCTCGAATTTCGGATCTTCGGTTCCCTTACGTCTGCATGGAAGGTCCGGCCGGAAGGTGCGACTTGCGACAAACATGTTGACGTCAGTGTGGAATGTGGAGCCCCAGGTGGGCAATGAGGGCTCCCAATCCATGGATCCCGCAATGGATGCTGGGTTGCATGGAGACCAGGGTTTGGTTGCGACGGTAGATTAGACACTCCACTTGAAGCCCCAGAACAAACATCCTCGAACCCTTCTTCCGAAACGTCCAGCTATTGTGAGCCGCGCAGGAATGGGCCAAGGATTTCTGATCCTCGCACGTCTCATGATTGCGACTTGGGCCAAGGCTGCCCACAGCGAAACGATTTGATACAGGACGGCCATAAAGGCAAAAGAGGCAATACACTAAAAAAGCAGCACCATCTGCTCCGCTGTTGCGTTCGCCAGTCCTGCTGTCTCACCAGGGTTTGTTGGAGAAAGATCTTTAGCTCTCCAGGAGCGCGTTCTTGCTCCACCCCTCTTTCGGAGCAAGGTCTCGACATGCTGGACATTGCTGCAAATTCCAAGCTGCAGTGTACTGTATAAGGCTGCTTATGGCGGCTTATTCGACTGTGCTGTAGCATCCGACCCGTGTTCAATATGGTGACGTGTAGTTAACACTGATGTCTAGCACTTTAGTGTGAGGGCTTGCTTTGTCTCCTGTGGAGCCACCACGAGCGGGAATAATTACCGCAGTCGTGCCAAAGTGATGCATGTTTAAAAAAGGTGGCCCCCCAAAGTTTGCCCCGAACAGCAACCTCTAGTGTCCCCGGGTAGCACGTGTTGCAAGAACTTCCCGGGCTACCTATCGTATGGGCAATGATGGGCTTGCACAGGCCCCTCTCCAAATCGGTGTTCCAAGATTTCTACAAGCTGTCCGAGAACGATCTCAGCAGCTGCAGGTACATACCGGGACGCTCATTCAGACTGTGCCGATGCGCACGTTGTTGTTGCGCAGCCTTAAAAAGGCCAAAGCCTTGGCATGTTTGCCAAATCCATGTTCTCCATTGCCACACACACGGCAGAGGGAGTTGCAGCATTGGTAGCTACCTTAGCAACTACATTGGTGGCAGCAGTAGAAGTAGTCGTCGTCGTGTTCGTTTTCGCGGCTGATGTTGTTGTTGTTGTGGTCGTCGTCGTCGTCGTCGTCGTCGTCGTCGTCGTGGTTGGTGTTGTTGTTGGTGTTGTTGTTGGTGTTGTTGTTGGTGTTGTTGCTGCTGTTGCTGCTGCTGCTGCTGCTGGTGTTGTTGTTGTTGTAGTTGTAGTTGTTGTTGTTGTGTTTTTTTTTGTTTTTTTTGTTGCTGTTGCTGTTGCTGTTGCTGTTGTGGTTGTGGTTGTTGTT